TCCACCTTACACTATCAGAGATCAGATCATGCATTTTTCTCCAAGTTTTTCTCACCCTCCTCCACCCCCCAAATCCTGGGCAATTGGTACATAGCTAAATTTTTTATTCTCTGTTTTTAATGTTTCACTGTCAAATTAGATATTTAATATATTCTTCGAAATGTATGAAATAGACTTAAAATTCAACCCTCCACTGACAAAAGAAAGTTGAGTGAATTCTCCACTTTCAGCAGGGATTCACTTTGCATTTGTTTTCTCTTCTGTAGTGAAATGAAGCAGTGAGACTAGTAGAAGCCGAAAATAAGCTTTCTGCTTGTGAGGAGATTCTTATGACACTATTAAAAAAATCTGCCAAGCAAGCTCCACACTAATAGCTTCCAGTTCTGCTTGCCTAATGACCCCCAAGCTCCTTCAAATTCATTATGGGCCTCCTCTGTGCCTTTTGTATTACTGTGCTTTACTTTCTCAAAGTTAGCAATGCTGCTTTGAATTCTGTGTGCAACTCCACAGGTAACTTGAATGAAACACTCATAGAAAGTGCTTTGTTCAATAAAGTCAAGATAGCTTCAGTTACTGTTTATAATAATCTATATATTCCTCTGAATTTCATTTTGAAGGGGATATAGTTGTGTGTTCGTGGATTAATCATAATGAAGAAGTCAGTTGCCTTATGAGACTGTATTAGTTCACTCAGCATGACACTCTCCAACCTTTCCCAAGTTACATAGTATTTTTCAAAATTGTGGCTCCTGAGTGCTGCATGGTATTCCATTGTGTGAATGTACATTTGCTTTGTGTTTGTCTTACACAGTACTGGAAATGAATAAAAGTGTAATAAAAGTATCTTTGGAGACTTTAGTAATAGATATGAATGACACAGTTGGGCATTTTAGTGTCTGGCCTGATGGCTTAACCTAACAGTCTAACTTATACTTGCTCTTCTCTCTTTGGGAGCTCTGGTGCCATAACCTGTAAAGAGTTATGCTGCTAATCCAAAGGTGATGGCTCTCTGGTGGCTTAAATCTGTCAACTGGTCCTCAGAGGAAAGATGGACCATCTCCTCCGATGGGCACTACGTCCTCTGAAAACCCACTGGAGGCTCAATCATGAGTTGGTTCCAACTTGACAGCAAAGAGCCTTTTATCTTTTAATAATTGTCTTCTATTTTTCACTGTGTGTTACAAAATCTCAATGCCTCTATTCAGATAAGGACACTCCACACCCTGAGTCTGCACATAATACTGTAAAGAAAACCTCTACCTAGCTTCTCAGCTTCCTTCACCCCCAAAATCCTGGACAATAGGTACAAAGCTATGTTTTTCTTCTGTTTTTAAATGCTTCATTGTCAAACTGGATATTTGATATATTCTTTGAAGTGAATTAAATAGACCCAAAATGCAACACTCCATTGCCAAAAGAAGAGTTGAGTGCATCCTACAAATAACGGCAGATGTCCTCTTTCCTCCCCTTCAGAGTAAGCTTGTCTTCATTGAGATGCAGGTGTGCAGGCCTCGCCCTCAGCCTCAGCACCTACAGAAAGACAGTCGATTAAGCAAACCCAAGGAAGAGAGCGGCTCCTCTATTAACCATTTATTAAGTCAACAAGCTCAGTAATTACTGCATTTTCCCTCCAAATACACAACACTTTTGTTCATTTAGCGCTATTATTCCTTCAACAGATGTGTCTTTTCAGTATCTTTCTCTTTCCCTGGGAGCATAGAATTTCTTCTTAATTGTGTGCTTGTGCATTGCAGTAACTTCAAAAGGTATTTTTGAGCCCACCAACCGAGATTGTTGTGCATGGAGAGCCAAGTGCCACACAAACCTCATCATCATCATTGAGGATGCAAGTGCCCAGCTTTCCACACCCAGCATCCAATTAGCCGCATTCTTTGGCCCAATAGATTCCACAACCAATGCTGCCACTTTCAGTGATTTGATTCCAGAAACCTCGGAAATAAATCTCCGTGAGCTCTGGGCTCATGGCAGCGTCAGGATTACAACAGGAAAGTAAAGCACCTTCTCATTCAGCCAGTAGGCTGCAGAATCTAAGAATCTGTAGAGTGAGCTTGATCTCAAATTCCCATCATGCTGGAGTTTTGAATCTCATTAACCACTTTTTTGCTCAGTGCTTCCCTTTATGAACAAAAAGGAGATAATTCACAAAGAATCAATTCTAAAGCCACTGCTCCCTCTTCCACAGCATCCTGAATGCTGAGCCTGAACGAAGGCTTCCTGTCACTGTACTTTCAAAATGCACACCAATGCAAGCTGGCAATCAGATTGATAGCAGGGTTTTCTTAAAAAGTGCATAAGCTCTCAGGTTACCTTCTAAGTAAGAGACATTCTTCCTTGAGTAAAGTTGCTGTTGCATCAAAAGACTAGAAGAACGAGAAGGGGGCAAAAACCTGATTGTTCAGCAAAAAAGGGGCAGTGTTGTTGTCCTCATCTTCATCTCCTGAGACCTCAGGGTCACAGACCTTGATAGAAAGCTGGGTGCCCCCTCTGTGGCAGAAGCTCAAGTGCAGCCCTGGAACACACAGGTGTTACCCTGACAGCTGCCTTGGCTTTGCTCAAAGCTGCAGTGAGTGATCCCTCCGGTTCTGCAGAGGAAAACTTTACTCCATGATCTCCTCACAGAGTCACGAGGACAAGTGAGAATTCTGTTCTTGTCTTTAAATAGCCTTGGCTCTGCAGGGTTAGCATGGGTAAGGATTCAGGAGACTGCTTCGTGTGCCTGGCAGGGACAGACAGGTCTCTAGCTGCTGAGGAGGGAAACTTTAGAGATTTTGTTAGATGCCTCTGAGTGACACTGGCCTGGTAAGATCTGTGTCCAGGGGCTTAGCAAAGATGCTCAAGCACAAATGTGTTAATGGAATCATGGGAATCGATGAAAACAGCAGGCCTTGGCGTGATTCTTTGATACAAGATAGATGGGAAAATTTGCTCCAGGGTCTATTGGGAAAATCACTCATTTCTATGAATAAGTTATAAGAACTTCCTCTGAGCAGCTCTTGGAAGAAGTAAGATGTCAGCTCCACATTAAACTGCATGAGGTTCAGAAGTCAAGAACCTATTTCTCACTGCTCCAGTGCATGGCTACTCTTTCCCACTTGGATAGGGGAGAACCGTTTGGAAGGCTGCAGTGAACATAGTGTCTGAGGGATTGAGCCACCTTTTGCTCTTCTGCTGTTGTGTCTTGGTTACTGAGAGTCTGGGGTTCTGACTGGCCTACGGCATGCCCCATCCTGCTAGTGCCTCTCTCCGTTGGGCTCAGCACTTAGCAGAAACTCCTGTGGGCCTGTCTCCTCAGGACACTGAGAGCTCTCTGTGGGGTCAGGGACCATGACTTTCTTTCTCCAACCTGGGGTGCAGCCTAGAGAAGAATGTTGATAAGTATAAGTTTAACTGAATTAAATTAAATTAAAAATATTAAGAAGTTGGCCAAGTCCTGGCAGGAACCCCAAATCCCATTGACATTTTTTTAGACAAATGAAGCGACAAATGAAAACAATTAGCTCCTCACTGAACTAAAGTAATTTTACTTCCTTCATTGCCAGATTTTCATTTCAATTCTTTAAATAAATATCCATACATGAGGACTCCTGTCTGTTGCATATTCTGAGAGAATGGTCTGTGGGGCAGGAGCACACTTGCTTGTCCTAGTGCCCTCATTTAACTACCTGCTGTATACTCTTATTATTAACACACACACACACACACACACATTTTCACAGTCCCTTTTGCCCAAGGAGCTTGGTTTTTTCCCCCCAAGGAGTTTTGAAATGTCACAAAATTTATGTCTTAAATATCCTTATGTGAAAGACAAGCAGGGAGCCACTCCGAGTTTTAAGAGTGATAACTTCTTATATGATATGTCTGTGTGGATGTGTGCATGTGAGGCTTGGATCTCTGTGTGTGCATGTGAGGCACGTCTGTCTGTGTGCATAAGTGGGTGACTGTGTGCACATGTAATGTGTGCATCCATGTGTGTGTATGTCTCCATGTCTGTGTGCACATCTGTGCATGTATGTCTGTGTGTGCATGTGTGTCTGAGTGCACATATGTGTCTGTTGTGCTCGAGAATGTGCATGTCTCCGTCTGTGTGAGTACATGTATGCATCTAGTTTTTCCTGATATGAGGCCATTTTCTTTCCCTTATTAGCTCATCCCCAAGAGGAAACTTCTCACTGGAAGGAGGAAAAAATTTAGTTGGATCATTTGAATATTTGATTGAAAAGAATATTTGTGGCTAGAAAAGATTTTTTTAGAAAAATAAGTATAGGTATATGGTAAGAAAGGATGACTAAGAAATAAGGCAGAGAGAACACATTAAAATTGGTTTCTATTTATTATCTGAAAGCCAGCACACCATTCCTGTTACTTGCCACCACACATAAGCACCAGTAGCTTGGTTATTACTATAAACACATTTTAGAGAGAAAATTCCAATAATTGCCTCCAAAACCTCAAGGGAACTCTCAGCCTAACCTGTTCACTGACAGCGGAGCGGGGACTTCAGCTCACTCTTTGGTCCCAAACAAGCTTGATTGAAGCTGAAGTAAGGAACATGTCTTCCTGTTGCCACCTGGTGACAGATTGTCAACTCAAGAGCAGAAACCGTCTGAGAGCAGATGGTTTCAAAGTGTCATATCGTACTTGGCACATACTAGGTGTTTGGTAAACATTTAAAGGAGGCTCAGATTAGACCTCTTTTCTGTAGGCTGCATCTTGCTGCTCCTTCAAGCAATTATTTCTTTCTGGAGAAACCCAGAAAGAAGGCCATTTCAATATATGTCTAGAAAGAAATGAGCATACAATACGAAGGTTATCAGGAACACACAGAGCAAAAGCCACCTCCTCTCTGGAAAGGGCAATTAACTAGCAAATGTTAACAGAAGTGCTGACAAATCCTAACAGCTATGAGGAAAGGCATAGACTACAAAGTGCCCTGTGGACCATCAGGTGAGCTGGCCCTGTCCGGGCCGCTCTTGGCCAAGTCAAGTGTGCTTCTTGTCCTTCAAGTAGCTGAAGAGTATCTCCAGACCCCCTTCCACTAGCTCAGGCAGGGGCTTGGCTAAAGGGTTATAGGAAATGTGGAGCCCTTTGTCCATGGGATTCCAGGCAATCCTTGACAGCCTGCACAGCAGGTAGAGTTCGTCTGGGAGCGTCTGGATGTCATTGTTGTTCAAGTTCAGCAGCTCCAGGCTGCTGAGCAAACACAGAGACCTGGGGAAGCAATGGATGTTGTTATTCTCGGCAATGAAGATCTGCAGGCTTGCCAGGCACTGGATGCTCTCGGCGATGTTTTCCAGGCGATTGGAGCCCACGTGCAAGAAGTCCAGCTCCTTCAGGGAGAACACGCAGATGGGGATGTGAGCAAAGCAGTTGTTGCTGAGGTTCAGCTTCTTCAGGCAGGAGAGGTCAGCGAGGCTGGCGGGCAGCTGGGACAGGCAGTTGTGTGACAAGCTCAGCACCTCCAGACTCTTGCAGGCACTCAGCTCGGCCGGCACCTCCCTCAGGCAGTTCATATTGACAAACAGCACCTTCATGCTCTGGAGGAGGCTCAGCTCCCTGGGCAGGCTCTGCAGGCGGTTCCCACACAGGTTCAGGACCACAATCCGCGTCAGCCTGCCCACCTCTGAAGGAAGAACCCTCAGCTGGTTGTGGGACAGGTTGAGCTTCTGCACCTCAGACAGGCCCCACAGGAAGTCTGGGACATCGGTCATCCCCTTTGTGACCAGGCTGAAGCTGACGTGGCACATGCCCCGCTTCAGCAGGGACCTTGGGTCTCGCCCGGAGAGAAGGGCATCGTCCCACCGGGAGAACTTCTGCCTCCTCCTCAGTAACAGCATCCCCCTGAGGTCCTTGTCTTTGGTGTCTGAGCTTGACTGCTTGGCCCCCATTGTCCTCACCCCCAACAGCTAAAGATAGATTGTCGCGGGCAGGACCTGTGTACGCGGAGTGGAGGAAGAGGTGAGGAGGGCCCAAGCTGGAGAATACTCACAGAAGTCACCTGGGGCCTGCAGGTGTCCAAAAGGGGCCCTGCTCCGCAGTAGCTCAGTCCACCGTGGATGGAGGCAGCTTCTCTCTGGGCAGCAGCTGTAATGGTATACTAGTTCCTGATCCTGCTCCCTCCAGTGCCACAGGCAGCTGTCACTGTCAGTCTGCCTGAGTTTATTGACCTGGGACTTGTAAACAGGCCACAGGGAGCCCACAAAGACAGTGTGCTCTCCTGGTCACACAGTCTAGCAGGGAGATATACAAGTCATTTTCCAAAGAGGAACAAAGTAGAAAATGAAGGTGGGTAGGACCTGGGCCAACCCGCCTGTGCTTGGCCCCTCTGGAGTGTAGCAGGTCTAAATACCAGAGTTAGGTTTCCACAGTTCATGCTCCAGGACTACATCACACATTTTTGTTTCAGACTTTGACGAATTTCACAAGTGTGAAAAACTAACAAAGGCATCCTGGACTCTGGTAGCCTTTGGCCTCTGGGTTCTATGCTGGGGGGACCTGGGAGACCCTGCAGACAGAGAGGAGTGAAGGAAAGGAGTAAGGTCCTCAGTCCCATCCATCCAGAGCACCTCTGCTTTGCCTACTTAACAGAGGGCCTTCCAAGGTCAGGAGAGGGACATGTGGCTTTGTAAAATGAGCAGTGTTTCCCAGTGGTGGGAAGCAGGAATCCTTAGGGGCTGGTTAACTTACACCCTAAGTTGCAATGCTAGTTATTGGGGAGGATGCAGACATATTTGCGGATGTGGAAAGCCCTTAAAACAGGTGCTGGTTAAGGGGACAGGAGACATCAAGGTTGGGATTCTTGGAGAAGTGCACCTTAGAGAGGGCTGATTCCTTAAAGAACAGTGTGGTTGGTACAGGTGGCCTAGCATTATGCAGCCCTGGCACTCAGGTGTTCTAGAGACATGACGGTTCGTGGGACTCAGACCTCACTAGATCAGGAGTTGCAGCTCCAACAAGATTGGAAATCTGCTGGTTCATCTCCATCAGGTGAGGCCCAAAGATCTGGTGGAGAAGCAGCAGTCCTTGTAAAACACTGGAGGCTGCATCTCCCTCCATTTGCCATTTGAAAGGGCTCTGACACATTCCCACAGAGTAAGTCTTTGGAAGTCTTGGTCAAAGCTGGGACTTTAGACTTTCTCTTTACTGACCACTTGCACCTTCAAGCTGTTAATTGGAAAAATAAAATAGTAAGGTTAAAAATAACAAAGTTAAGTTTTTGGAGGAGATAAAATAGGCAAATTTTCATACGACGTATGTTATTTTTTTAAAAATTACTCATTTAACCTTTAACTGGTTAAATCTTTTTAAAAAGAAAGTTGGCTAACCTTTTTCAATCTATGAGCATGAGAAGTTGTGTCAGAAGAGGAGGAAGACAAAGAAGATGAGGAGGATGAGGAAGTGTCAGAGGACCTGAAATGAGGGGGTGGCAGTAACTTGGGTAGTTTGAGCAAGAATCTACGGCTCCTATAAATCCTATAGATTTGGTATATACTGTTGTCTTCCCGCATGGTGTAGGGATCACTGAGCAACTTCCTTCCATGTGCTGTCCGCTCTGACCCTTCCTCCATTCTGTCCACCCAAAAATATTTTTCTTAAGCCTACTACTTTGTACCTGTCAATATGCCTGGAAGGCTAAAATTCTGTCTTCATTTCCTTTTTGGACCTTTTAATTTGCTTCAATCAGAACTACGATTGCTTCACATTAACAACATTGGTTCAAATCCATGGTGTGTCTACAAGTACTACAAGCATGCATTATTGTTTCCATTGCTGTCTATGTTTTTATACTCTTTTTATTATTTTAGCTACACTGTTATTGCACTTACTATTTGTGATTCCATATTAATAACTTTTTGAGAATAAAGTATTAATTAAAGGAAAAGGAAAAAAGAAAAAAGGAGAGAGAAATAGGGTTTTAAAAGAGCTGCTATGTTTATTATTAATACTAATCATTGTGTTACTTGTGATATAGTTATACATTACTTAAATGTGGTATTTCTCAAGTTATGTTAGTTGTTGTTATGTACTGTTGAGTTTACTACAATTCATAGCCACCCTATGTACAATAGCTCGGAACTCTGCCCTATCTTGACACCATCTCGTTGTCTCTGACAGACCTACCATTTCTCCAGTCACTGAGTCAATTCATCTCATCCTGGGTCTTCCTCTCTTGCACTGTTCCTCCACCCTTTAAAGCATGATGTCCTTCACCAAGGAATGTTCCCTTTTGGCCACATGACCAAAGTATGTGAAATGGAGCCTCAAAATTCTTAATTCCAGGGAGCAGTTTAGTTTCACCCTTTTCAGTACTGAAAAATTTGTCCTCTTGGCAGGCCCAGTAAGTTCAACTCTCTTCTCCAGCACTACTACTCAAAGGCATTGTTCCCTCTATCATTCTTAGTCATTGTTCAGCTCACTGACACATAGTTGCTAAACCATGGCTTATATAAGGCACACCTCAGTCTCAAGACTGACATTGTTGCTCTTCAGTACTCTAGAGAGTTCCCTGACAGCACACTTTGAATACAAATAGCAAAATTGTTTCGGCCAATCATTCTATATTTAATTACCACAATATTAGTTACATTATTAGTAAGAGAAGAACCTTTTCTAGCACTTGCCTGAGCAAGGCAGAGGCAAAGCTGGCCTATGAGAGAGACCAAAGACCCAGGACACAGAAACTGAAGAGACAAGAACAGGAAGCAGAATTACCTCAGTCTCAAAAATATATAGCCATGAGTTTTAGCATTTCTAAGTGCTAGGACACACATTCTTGGGTTTCAATGATTAAATGCCTGTGGATTGACTTGTGTTCTCTACAAACAATTGTCACTTTGGCTGGGCATCGGTGTTTCATTAAGTCATGTAATAGTGTGAACCTCAACTAAGATGTGATCAGGCCTGATCTAATTTGAAGAGCTTAGGATAGATGCAGCACCCTTAACTATGTCACAGCTCAATGGAATGTAAGGGGAGTATCCCTGCAAAGTCTTATGTCACATTTTATATTTCAAGAAGTTAAAGGATAGAAAAATGAACAGAGATGAGAAAGAACTGCCATCATCAATAAAAAGAAGCAAACCATGTCCTTTGGACCCAGGGTCCCTCTTCTGTGAACATGCTGGAACAGGGAGTCAATTTGAGAGATCTTTCCTTCACAACAAAAATTCTGAAATAGACTTGTAAAGTATGAGGGAATAGAATTTCTGTTTGTAAAGGCAATCTACTTGTGGCATTTCTGCTGTAGCAGCACTAGATAACTAAAACAGTACAAAATATAAATATTTAAACCAGCCATAGGGGAGTAGAAATTGGTGCACTAAAAGTGTTCTCTACACTTCTATAAATTCCAACTGATTGATGTTCCAACATATTAAAATTATAAATGAATATTTACTTTGTTGTGATTATTGTTGTTAAGTACTGTCCAGTTGAGTATGACTTATAGTGACCCTATGAACAAAAGATATGCACCCTCTTCTATCCTGTGCCATCCTCACACTTCCTGAAACACAAGAGCCCATTGCAGCAGTCACCACGTCAATACACCTGGCTGAGGATCTCTGTCTCCTTCACCAACCCTCTACCCTTCCCCAAATCATGTCCCTCTCCAAGGAATAGCATCTTCTAGCAACATACCCAAAGTATATGAGGTGAAGTCTTATCATTCATGATGCCAAAGGGCACTCTGATTGCTCTCTCTCCAAGACATATCTGTTTGTCCTCTTGGCTATGCATAGAGCAGAACAATTATGGCCTAAATCCTCAGGGCACCTTAGTCCTCAAACTGATATCATTATTCCTCAATAATTTGGAGATGTCCCTTAACTGGATATTTTCCCAGTGTAATTTGTCTCCTTATTTCCTGACCGCTCATACCAAGGTGTTAATTCTGGATCCAAGCAAGATGAAGCTGTTGACAATTTCAGTCTCTTTTCTATCCATCATGATGTTCGCTACTGGTCCAGTGGTAAGAATCTTTGTTTTTCTTCACACTGAAATGCAATCCATACTGATGGTTGCATTCCTTGATCTTCTGCAGCAAGTGCTTCAAGTCCTCCTCACTTTGAGCAAGCAAGGTTGTGTCATCTGCATAAGGCAGCTTATTGTTGAGTCTCCCTCCAATCCTGATGTCACACTCCTCTTAATAGACCCCAGCTTCTTGAATAATTTGATCAACATACAGATTGAATAGGTATGGAGAGAGAATGCAACCCTGACACATTCCCTTCTCTATTTAAACCATGCAGTGTTACTTTATTGTGTTGTTGTTGTTGTTACGTGCTGCCTTGTCAAGCATGATTCATAGCAACACTATGAATGGACACTTTTCTGTCCTGCGCCATCCTCACTCTGCCTGGCACACAAGAGCCCATTACAGCAGTCATCATGTCAGTCCATCTGGTTGAGGGTTTTTCTTTCCTTTGCCGTGCCTCCACCCTTCCCAAAACCATGTCCCTCTCCAAGGAATAGCACCTCCTAGGAACATGTCCAAAGTATGTGAAGCAAAGCCTCATCATTCTTGCCTCCAAAGAGCACTATGGCTGTACCATTTCCAAGACATATCTGTTCATTCTCTTGGCTGTCCATGGTTGTTCAGTGCTCTTCTCCAACACCACAGCTCAAAGGCATCAATTCTTTTTCTGTTATCCTTATTCATTGTCCAGCTCTCAGATGCATAGCTAATAATCATAAAGACTATGGCCTGAAACAAACACACCTCAGTTCTTAAACTGATAGCACTATATTCCTCTATAATTTGGAAAGGTCAATAACTGCAGATTTCCCCAGTGCAATGCATATCCTTATTTCCTGATTGTTTGTACCAGCGGTGGTAATAGTGGATCTAAATAAGATGAAGTTGATGATCTTTCAATCTTTCCTCCAT